CCCCAAAACCCCAAAACCCCAAAACCCCATGAGTGAAAATCATTGTAAAAATTAAAATTTTATATACTTATAAAAATAGAAAGCGAATAAGAAAATGGATCTTAAGGAATTGCCTTTAATAGATTTTTAAATGATGAGTCTTGCGATATCTAATTTTGTTGAGAAGGGACAAGCTAGCAATATACAAAACTTCCTAGATCAAAAGGTATGATATAATATTTGGAGTATTTTGTAATTTCTATATAAGGGCTCATCTTTGAAATATTTGGTTGAATCAATTTTCAGCCTAGCTGAGAAAACAAGCGAACAAAAAGAAAAGAAACAATTAATTGCAAAGTCACTAGCTAAGATTTCTTTGCTTGATGCATTCAAGCAATAGCTATCTTAAGACTTGTTAGAGTTATTGGAGCTAGAGAATTTCTAGAAAATTTAGGACTTCGAGGTTCAGGATTCCTTAATGGCTGTAACTAGAAATTTGTACTTGGATAAAAACAATATTGAAGGAACTTTATAAAATCTGACACTAATATTCACTGCAATGTGCTTCATGCTGCATCATGAGGAAACTAGACTCTCTTAGTAGGCATTAAAGATAATTATCTAGCTTATTAAAATGATTCATGAAACCAATAAAGAAATGTTCTTGTCCTACAAAGATTAATTGCAAGAATTATTGATTAAAGGTATAATGAGTGAAAATACTGTGGTTATGGTTAGATATTTTGAACTAGCTTGCAATTTAGCATAAATCTCACCTGAGTTAAGTTAACTTACTGAGCCTGTTATTGAGTAAGTCTTCGAGTAATTTTTTAACTTAGATATGCTAACTTAAATGGCTGTCATGGATTTCGTTGCAATACTTGGTTAAAATCAATAAACATCAATGATTCTAGCCAAGAAGTAGTTCTTACCCAAATTATTTGAAAAGTTTCGGTATGGAGAAGACCATTACGGTTTTATTACAAACAATTTAGTTGTCTTGGGGGCATTTATATACTCAGTAAATGCTAAAATATATAACCCACTCTAAAGTGAAGATTATCTAGCATATTTCAGAAACATGATTAGTTCTAAGTCTCCCAAAGATTAAGAAACTGCTTCTACTTGCATGTTCTTTTTCTTCAAAAACAGAGAATGCTTATTTGAATACTTTGTTCACAACTTAGACATTCTTAAAACCTGGCTGGGAACATTTAGAAGCACTGATCCTGAATTAAGAAAGGCATCGTTTTAAGCTTTAAGACAGCTTTTAAAAGCAAAGGATGAAGAGACTAAAGAAAAGTATAATGAAATTATTAGAAGAATTTATGGAAATATTACTCACCCAAGCAACTTCCCAGAAATGGGTAATGAGAATCAATCTACTGAGTATCTTATAAGAGAGGCAGATGTTCCATTTGAAGCTCAAGAATTATTGCTTATTAAAGTCATGAAGCAATTAATTAATTGGGAGTGGGGAATGAGATCGCTTTATGCCAATTCAAAGGCTGTCTCATATATTTTAAAAAGAACTCCAAAGGCCAAATTATTAGTTGAAAAATAATTTTCTTTGGTTTAGAAAACCATTTAAAGCAAGTTTTTCATGAAATAAATGAACGTAGTAGATCCTATCATTGGTGAGTAGCTAGAAGTCTATTACAGCTAAGGAGTATATGGAATCCAAGGCGGTGGAGGTCCTAATTTTGTTCCAGAGTACGCCTCTAAGAGTTTTTGATTTAAGCTTTTGCAATTGATAATTAGATATTTTCTTTATTGTTCATTGTTAAAATTACTATGGGGTTTTGGGGTTTTGGGGTTTTGGGG